AGGTGCCCATCTTCCTCTTTTATTTCCACTCCAGTGAAAAAAAAACGGGAGTTTACCACGACTCCAGTGCTAACCTGATATGTTACCTAGAATAGCCTTCTGTTTTGGAGGAAATAGGCTGCTTTGACTGTGGAGCGGCAGGCGGTGGAGTGTGTGTGTGTGTGGGGGGGGGATATTATTCGTGGCTGGCTGGACCAAATAGCCCTCTCCAGAAACCCGTTGAGGTGAAAAAAACCAACAACATGGCATGAAACTGGTTAAAGGCTGAGGTGCAAAGGATGATCATTCCCTGCAGGGAGTTACGTACTAATTTCAGTAGCATGAATCTGCGCCTTGTATCACCTTGATCCCATAGATATATTTATCTAGCACTGAGGCCTATCCATCGCAGGGGCAGCATGTGAGAAGCTGGGGTCTTTGCTTCCCTATTTCCCTGTGGCTCATCTGGTTTTAAGGATTGTTCATGAACAGGAAAACTTTGGGGATGGGATAGCTGGCTCATCCATCACAGGCATGGATGCCCTTGGTTTAAATGCTTGATAGCTTTTGCTCCCTAACACAAATCAGAACCAGTCAGTGAACCCCACAACCAGCTGTACCTCAGAATTCTCTTCCATTCTTCCTAGCATTATAATTTTGGTTAATTTTCAATTTTAGGTCCTATGTCTCTGCAATTTGTGTATGAATAACAGAATAATTTCCCTCTTTTGTTTCGCCTTTCCTGTTCCTGAATCTAAATAAAGATGGCTTTTTAGTATTAAAAGTGGAAGAAAATTACAGGTAATTATCTTTGACGGTAAAAACGCTGTAATCAGCGGGCTACATGAAAAATTACTCTAATTATGGCTGCATTTAAGAGAATGGGGGGAAAAAACCTTCTTATGGATAAAAACCTTAAATTGTCCCCAATGTCTGCTTCAAATTGGATGGCACTGCAGCTGGGGGCTTTGTTCACAATTGATCCTGGGGAGAGCTGAACCCAAAGTTTCACAGTAGGCATTGGGAGGGGGGAGCAAAAAAAGAAAAGAAAAACATTTTTCCCCCTCCAAATGTAACAATGCGAATGGTAGAAAATGACAAGACTTGATCGGTTTTAAGCCATTCTGAAGACTGACTGAGCGTGGAAGTTACTCAACAAAAAACCGGCGCTGGTATATTGGTAAGTAGTCTTGGCTTTTGTGTCTAATTATAGTGACTGTCCTTTTGCACAACTGTATGTAGCTGTCATTATATGCAGCACTCCGAGAATCTCCATTGACTTCTGATAAATGGCTCAGTGGTTTCAAGGTTCATAATTTGAAGGATGCCCAGGGCTCTAGCCATTAATTCTCGCAGTATGGGGCATCCTGCTTGTGTGACGAAAGGGGCTTTTCATGGTGGATGATTTCTCGCTTTGGCACCACCTAGCAAGGATATCATTTGCGGCGGACCCTGCCTGGAGAAGCCGGGAGTGCTCTCCCAGCCCCGTGGAACAGGAGGCAGCCGTAGCTGTCTGCCCGGGGAACGACCGGCCACAAGGCCATTCCCCCGCACACCAGGGCAGGCGACCGTGGGGCG